CTTTCATCTCAGGACCTATAAAAGCTGCGGGGCTGAAATTTCGGGAACTTAATCTGCATGCACGTATCTTTCATCTCCGGACCTATAAAAGCTGTGGGGTTGAAATTTCGGGAACTTAATCTACATGCACGTACCAAATCCCCAAAATGGGCGCCAAAACCCGCGTGGTACCTGCGTACGGGCCCCCCAAAGTTTTTTTGGGGTCAGCTCATAACTCGAGTATCTGAGAAGCTAGAAGGCTGAAATCTTGGGGTAATGTTCCCCGTCCAAGCGGCTATTAGTGGGATCAAACTCAGCCCCCGGGTAAGCGCGGTACCCGCGTACTGGCCCCCAAAAATTTTTCCCGCGCAAATTCGTAACCTAGAGAAGCTAGGAGGTTGAAATCTTGGGTGGAATGTTCCCTGCCCAAGTGGGTATTGGTGGGCTCAAACCCAGCCCCCGGGTAAGCATGATACCTCTGTACGAGCCCGCCAAAATTTTTTTCGTGAGAAGTTAGAAGGCTGAAATCTTGAGGTAATGTTCCCCGCCCAAGTGGGTATTAGTGGGCTCAAAACCAGCCCCCCCGTAAGCGTGGTACCCACATACGGGCCCTCTAAATTTTTTTTCGTGTAAATTGATAACTCAAGCACCTGAGAAACTAAAGGAACGCAATTTTAAGAAGATATACCCCGTCCACCTAAGCATAACTCAAGTACCTGAGAAACTAAAGGAACGCAATTTTAAGAGGATATACCCCGTCCAGCTAAGTCTCAATAGCTCTCTCAGGTATGCTCAGTAAACATGCACGGGCCCATGAAAATTTTGTTCCAATAAGTTGCTAACTCATGTGCCAGGGAAGCTAGAAAGTTGAAATTTTAAACGGAATGTTTTCTGACAGTCCTGGTGGTTAGTCTTAATTTGTTTAGCTAGAAGCATCTGCCGAAAAAACCGGTGCCGGTAGCAACAAAAACTGCGGAGAAACATGCAAAAAACGCATTTTCGCACGGGCAGCCCGTGCGTTGGCCAATTATGTAATACTGTAAAAATGTCCAAGTGCAGTGCTTTGCAGTCGCTTTAGACTTAAGATGGCCGCCAGACTTGCTCGTGAGCGTGAACCCACTCACAGTGACTGTGAACTTGTACGACCAACGTTATTTAAAGTGGGATGAGCTGTCAAACTCCGTTATGTTTTGTTTATCCCTTAATGTATACGCCGCCGTTATCGCATGCTATAAAAATGCTCCGATAAAACGGCATGGCAGGAAGCTGTGAAATTTTATGCATCATAAATCTTAATGAAATTGGTGCCAGATTTTCAGTTTTACTGTTCAGCACATTAAACACAATTTTGCCCCCAATGTAAAAGTTGGTAAGCTTAAAATTCTGCTACTGTTTAAGCTCTATATGGCATTGGAAGCAATCATGAAAATATTTCTAATATGTCAAGAAGCGAAGCTCGAAATTTGAGATGCCGAAAAAATGATGCACTAACGTATATTACAAGTAAAATTTGTATTTGATACGTGGAGGTGCAAAACACATAATCCATCTGCATATTTTACGAATAAAATATATCGAAGTTTGACATAGCCAGAGTGTCGGGCTCTCGAAATTCAACGAGAGCAACGCCACTTTCCAACAAACCGTTCCCGTAAACGCTCCGGTTCATCCACGCAATCAAATTATTGCGATATTTCTCATCTGCGCTTCAAAACCGTTCAGTGGAAATACTAAAAAGTGCGTTACCTCGGGTTTCGAAGAAGTCAGATACTTTGTGTGAGATGATGTTAACTGTCCTTTTTTCTCCTTCAGCCGCGGTCTTTTTGATGGAGTCACAGTATCGGCACTACTGCTTAGCAGTTTATCGACGTCCATGGCCCAATTATCTTCAGAAATCCAAGCCAACACTGTATCTGGAAGATTTTTGAAGCATAGAAGATACAATAAATGTAACAGCGTTCACCTGGTGCATCAATAAAGTGTATTACACAACTCAAGAATTAACTAAGATTCAGGATAAATTTTCCAGGAAAGAGTCACCATTACTAGTATTTTCTTTCCACTTCACGTATGCGTACCATACGAAGAACGAAAGTGCAACTTTACGTGCTTCGGACTTGAAGTTACGACACCTTTCTACGATACTGATTAGTGCGCCGCATCCACTAAAAATAACAAAAGTGTGATCAGCAACAGAAAATGAAGTACGCC